TATTCTTGAAGAATATTTACAAATCTATGAATAATAAGGTTTTTTTTTTACATATTAGACACTTATTAATGTAAAAAGAAATTTCAGATTAAAATTCTCACAAAATTTTGTTTTATTTCTACAAACAACATTGCACTCTTCTTCGAAAAAAAAAGTGTAAGGGTCCCCCAAGCAAAACTATTGATGGATAAACCAGATATTTCAATAGTCTATTTATTTCCAACTCATAAACCTCTTTTACATAAATGTAACGTATGTTTCAAATGAAATGAATGATCAAATGTCCGCCCTTTTTCAGCTCAAACATGACTCTCACTAGAGCAGAAATTCAAAAATTATACAGGGAGAGAAAAAAGGCACAGGATGGCGAAGCGTATTTAGCCAAAGAAAGAGCCAGACAAAAGAAAAATTATGTCCCTGCAGCTTCCCTAACAAATTCCCAAAGAAAGAAAAGAAATGAAAAAATAAGCCAAAGAGTTAAAAAAAACACAGACTTCAGAAGAAAGTTAGCTTGCAAGAGGATCGTGTTCAAATGAATGAGAGTTCTGAAGTTACTAGTGGTTACGAAACACAAGAATCAAGCTGCTCACAGAAATTAATAGTGAGACTTCCAAATGCAAGAAGGAACGGTCCAAGGAAACGATTAAGTAGAACCTTATCCACTGCGCAGAGAAACATTAAAAATTCTGCAAAATGAAAAAACAGACATGCACAAAAAATTGAAAACAACGCAAAGAAAATTACAACGATTAAAGAAAAATCTAACAAAGGTTCGCCCTTGGATTCTCTCTTGAAAGCATACACTCTTAAAAATGTTTTGCTACGCCACTGAAAACTGATCGAATTTTTAATGAATTTGGACTAAAAGAACCTCACAGATCTAAAATCAGAAAGCAACTCTTATTCAGTAATGTCATCACTGAACAGCTGAGACAGAACAGTGGAATAGAACAGGATAGAATGAAGAAAAACATGTTGTATAGCACACTCGCAGGTAAAATTGTACAAAAGTACAGATGTGTAGCAAAGCTTAGTAAGGAAACAAGTATTGGTAGGAAAAAACTTCCCAGTTTCATAAAGGAAAAGGTAGATTTAAGAAAGCAATGGAAAAAGAGAGTTATTGGGTTTTCAGATTTTTACTCAACTGTTTCCGTGAAATCGATAATTTTGCCATTTTAACAGTCAATTTCGTTTTTATGGTTCATCTTTGAACATTTTTATTTCTTGTAAAGTGGTCATAGTAACCTATATTTTCATATATAAAAAAAATGTTTTTCGCTGAAGATACCCTTTAAACATCACACAATGTTGAATGTGTTTATGGTTTTTTTCCTCTTTACATTTTTGCTAATAATTAAAAAGATAAAAAAAAAAGTTCAAGTGGTGTGATAGTTTTCTATGGAGCAGAATTAATGAAATAAAAATAAAAACAGTCGCCATGCAGGGTTAGCTCAGTTGGTAGAGCATAGGCTCCACGACCAGAAGGGTGCAGAGGGCCGGGTGGGTTTGAATCCCGGCAGCAGCAATTTCTTTCCCGTGAAAATTCACCTCTCACCTGTTTCAAGTGGGAATGAAGTGGTAAACCCCAAAGAAACAAACAAAACAAGTTTGCTTTCACAGTCATATAAAGTCTTTATAAAATGGCCACCAAGATACATCGCTGACCTTATGTCTGGTTGTACGTCGCCGTTATCTGTGGATGTACGTCAGCCTTTTGGTCTTATGTCTGGTTGTACGTCGCCGTTATCTGTGGATGTACGTCAGCCTTTTGGCCTTATGTCTGGTTGTACGTCGCCGTTATCTGTGGACGTACGTCAACCTTTTGGCCTTATGTCTGGTTGTACGTCAGCCTTTTGGCCTTATGTCTGATTGTACGGCGCCGTTATCTGTGGATGTACGTCAGCCTTTTGGCCTTATGTCTGGTTGTACGTCAGCCTTTTGGCCTTATGTCTGATTGTACGGCGCCGTTATCTGTGGATGTACGTCAGCCTTTTGGCCTTATGTCTGGTTGTACGTCAGCCTTTTGGCCTTATGTCTGGTTGTACGTCGCCGTTATCTGTGGATGTACGTCAGCCTTTTGGCCTTATGTCTGGTTGTACGTCAGCCTTTTGGCCTGATGTCTGGTTGTACGTCGGCGTTATCTGTGGATGTACGTCAGCTTTTTGGCCTTATGTCTGGTTGTACGTCAGCATTTTGGCCTGATGTCTGGTTGTACGTCGGCGTTATCTGTGGATGTACGTCAGCCTCTTGGCCTTATGTCTGGTTGTACGACGCCGTTATCTGTGGATGTACGTCAGCCTTTTGGCCTTATGTCTGGTTGTATGTCGCCGTTATCTGTGAATGTACATCAGCCTTTTGGCCTTATGTTTGGTGTACGTCGCCATTATCTGTGGATGTACGTCAGCCTTTTGGCCTTATGTCTGGTTGTACGTCGCCGTTATCTGTGGATGTACGTCAGCCTTTTGGCCTTTTGTCTGGTTGTACGTAAGTAGTAAGAAATTGCCGGTATGAGCGCATTTTCAAATTAGGGTTGAAAACCAACCACTAACACATCTGACTCAACAAGCTCAAAACCAACCACAACAATGTTTAAACATGGTCTAAATGACTTAAAGAAAAATGACGTTTCTAAAAATGACTTAAAGAAAAAACATTCTATAATGTAACGAGCGGCCTCGCAAGCTCGACTATCTCCTTATTGCTGACCCATGAATTGAACGTCTCTGGATAACCCTTCCACTTGACCAGCGACCTCGTTTTACCCTTCTTGACGACTTTTTCTATCCTGTATAACTCTTGGCTCGTCTTCTCCGTGTTAGGTAGTAAATTTTTTCATGTGCTTCACATAAAATCCACACCGGTTTTCTTGATATACTCTTGGTGATATTGTTTTTGCTTTCACCTTAATTGTGCATACAGCATTTGCATCACGAGTAATAGGAACGGATGACATATACATCATGTAGGCCGTTTTTGTTTTTACCTTAGTACCTTTACTAGCAGCCGCAAACTGACTTATCAGGGGCGCGTTTTCAAACAACCCATCCCCCGTCTCAACGTCTACCATCACCAAATCACCAATAGAATAGTAACTCCTATAATCCACACCCAGGTAGGTGGAAATTTCTAAATAATCCCCCACCTTTACATTTGGGATCGTTAATTTTATAAAAGGTAAAGTTTGATAAGTTGTCGTATTTGATGGGGTGATAGTTTCTGCTTGAGTGTGCAAATAAGTATATGGACCATAAATTCTCCACGAGTCAACTAGAACAGCATCCACATAACCTTTTGTTGCGGCGTGACTATCAGTCGAGGGTTGAGCCAAGGATAGGCCAGTTATTTCATGGCCTCCCATATGCAAAGATCCAGTCATAGTGTCTCCTCTCTTACTAACTCTAGCTACCTCACGAATGGACTTTGAAGTAACCATCCAATGTTTACCACTCCACGTAAATGTTCTCGATTCTCCACCAAAAACAATCAAAGATTGTAAAGTCCCAACAGATGTATCAGTACTGTCATCCGGATTTACTATTCTATTCTCATTATCCCACATTGAACATTGATTAACGTATTTTTCGTGAATAACTAAATATTCTTTACCGACGGTAGCTGTTGGCGGAAACTTTAGCACAACGTTTCCGCTGGTGGTATCTGCTAGAATAATATGATTACGTATCATCCAGATTATACAAACCTGCTGTAACGAGGGTGGTTACGGGTGTAGGGTTAACAATTTGACTATCGACATAATTCTTAGTAGAGACGTCTTGCGCGTTCACGGGATCCGACACGTTCGTTAACGTATTTCCCGCCATATCGATGGAACCAGTTACGGTAGCCCCATTCTTTCGTAGAAAATTTTGATTGACGTACGACAGAGACACACCGGGTTCTGGTGGTGGGATGTTGTACTCTGACGTCATATATCCAAATTTGTGAACAGGAATTCTTTTTTTATATGTATGTTTTTATAAATTAATTTCTAATAGAAGTGAAATATTAGCTCCGGTAATTTTTGTTGTTGTTACGTTGGTTACAAAGTTGAGCACATCACCTACATTTAAACTGATTCCTCTCACATCCGAAACGTGATTAAATTCTCCTTGTGGCTTTAAAATTTTACATTGAGTTTTACTACCATTAACCACGAGGACTACACCAGCCTCTTCGGGAGTGGATTCTGGTGTTGTAACCGACATACCTATTTTCAAAACTTTGGATGGTGCTAGCACGGTATAGCCAGCGTTTTTACCTGTTGTACCATCACCGAACGAGTATTCGTACTTCCCTTTCACCAGTCCACCTTTTTCTTCAGCCCAGATAGTTATATATTTTTTTACCTTTGTAATTTTGTGTATTCATTAATAGCTGAGAATACTTGACTCTTAGATCCTGGATATCCATCTCTAATTTAGTCACATCAGCTTTTCTTTGGAAATTCTTATTGACGTACGACAGAGACACACCGGGTTCTGGTGGTGGGATGTTGTACTCTGACGTCATATATCCAAATTTGTGAATAGGCATGTTTTTTAATATATATATATATATATGTATTTTATAAATCAATACAATCCGTTTATGATCTCTTGAAGCTCTCTCCCCGCGCTCATCTCTTTTAGAACGTATAAACACAAATGACCGCAAAATACCTGATCGGCTGGCTGAACCTGCTCTGTATTGTACAAGATCCCTCGCTTCAAATAGGATATCAACTCATTCGGAGGTTGTATGCCATAGCTATCGAAATAGTATTTATTTTTTCCTTGTTTGTACCAGGCGGTCCAGTGCGTTCCTCCTTCGTCACTAGAATCTAAATTCAGAATCCCACATTCATTTCTCTTTGGTCTCTTCGGAAGTGTATCGCGCAGAAATACTCCTCTAAAGTTTGGTATTTTCAATTCATCTGCAGCCCTCATTAACTCGATATTACTTAGCGGTTTATTTGGCAGAACGACTTTTCCCACTGAAATGTTCATTTTTATATATATCTATTAAAGTTTAAAGTGTCCGTGGGCTAGTGTGCGCATCCCATCCTGGAGGATGATTCGCTTGTCGTCATTTGCCGAAAGAGCTATTTTGTTAATTTCTTCGGTGTACACATCATGACAGTGGCTCCTGATGACGTTCATCTTTCTCAACTGATCCTCACCCGTAAACAAACATTTCTTGTAATCCTCAAACGAAATACTCTTTCTGACAACGGACCTTTTCACCCCCTTACACTTCTTCTCCTCATACCCCTCAAGCAACTTGTAACTGTACAACTTAGCTCTCAACCCCACGAATTCTCGGATGATCTTACCTCCTGCCTCGTCCTTGAACATCCCCACCACTTTCTTGTTACGACCGACTTCGATGCCCGATGGGTGATCCTTTGGGAAGTTGCTGGTGTCAAACTTGGCTGCCACGTCACCAGAGATGTCCTTGTAAAAGTCTTCCGTCTGGATTTCGTATGCCAAGGAATCGGTATCGGTAAACAGGAGTTTTGCCTTTTCTCCGTACTTTGTCTCCATGTAGTTGTAATGGAAGTCGTACATCAACGTCTTGCTCAGATCGAGGATGCACATCCCGAGATAAACGGGCTTGTTGAACTTCAGTTTCGTCTTTTTCATATGTACGGCAACCAGGTTCTCGTCGAAGATGGTGCAATGTTTAAAATTGGGTTTTGCTGCCAACTTCTTCGCTTTTGTCTCGTCGTTGACTAGTCGGATATCCACTCGGCTCCTAATGTTCTCCATAGTCTTTCCGAAAACAGAGTTGTTCATGAGCTTGAAAAAGTCCTTTTCAAACTCATTGTTTGCCTCTGCTCGGAGATTGGTGTTCAGGTCGATGTATTGCTTCAACCATGCACTTTCCTCGAACCTGATGCCCCTGTGGATCTTTGTAATCTTCATTCCCAAGCCCTCGTATAGTTTGAGGTTCTCGCAGTGAATGACATAGTTAGTTTTGTCATTGAGATTGGGAATAAGCTTTTCCACATTATGGACTTTGAGACTTTCTGGAGCGAGCGGATAGTCATTGTGGAGATCATGCAAATCCTTTGGATATTCAAGGTCAACCTCCAGTATACAGCTGTGGTTCTTCCAAGAGTCCAGTTCACTGTCTGTCATCCACCCGAATCCGTGTGTAGGGAGCGGTTTGCTCATGGCCCAACCATAGAGATTGTTGGCATCCAAATAGGCAATATACTTCGCAGGATCATGGGGGTTGAATGTTTCACCCATGTATGGGTTGTTTGCTTTGCCATATCTGTTGCTGATCATCGATATCCCGCCTCTGATACCTTTCTCCACCATGAGCAACATGTCTGGATCTGATAACAGCTCCAACTTCACTTCGGTGATTTTCAAGGCAGCGTCCCATGCTAGTCCAGGCGCTGTATAATACCAGGCAGGGTCAAGATCGTAGTTCTTGATGCAGACGTCTCTAAAGTTCTCGAAGACATCTGCCAAGAGCAACACGTCCGACTGGTTGTACAGTTCGTGGTAGTCCCTGAGTGACTTCATGCCAAACTCTTTCCACACAGTTTGTGCATGCTCATAGTCATCGTCACTAATCTCTTCTCCACTGAGTCTGGAGTAGAACGCTACTTTTCGTGGAAGGGCTGTTTCATCTAGTCTTTTGAGTGAATCCATATATTCATATGGGTAGACACCCTTTCTCATTAGTAAGTCTAGATGTTTTCCGTTATAGTACTTCGAAGTGTTAGAGAAGCAGTCCTGATCCAGATTACCGGACAGCTTATCCAGGCTAGAGGCCATGAACTTGAAGCTGTCGATGAATTTGAGTTGGTGCTTAACATCCTTCTCTTTCCCGTCCTTGCCAGTATAAGAACCGACAACAACCTCCTTGGTGAAGCTGATGTACTTTTCCTCGTTGTTCGGGATGCAGTTGATGTTCCCCTCAGTTTTACCGAGGTTCTTGACGAACAGATGACTGTCATAGCCGCTCAGATTGTGGAACACCACGGGAGTGAACTTCGGCTTCTTGTACTGCAAGTTTCAACAATTGTGAGCTGCACCTCGGTATTTCCCAGTAAAGTGACAGTGATCTCTCACCTTCTTGTCATCCTTACTGAACTCACCTTGGCAGATCCAGCACTTTGTCGCCTTTTGGAATTGTTTGCGGTCATTTTCCCCAAAAATCATTGGTTTCGCCGGAATTTTGCCAATTTCTTTGATGTCTTTCTCCAACATTTCTACGAATATTTGGGAGACATCTTCGTCGTCAGTTTTCGCGGTGTAGGTAACCGGATCTTTAGAGAAGACACCATCATTAAAGCATTTGATGTAGTAACAAAAGCTCGATGGGGTGTGTTTCTGGTATTTCTTCGTGTAGCTCTTTCCCGGACACGGTTCACACGTATCTACGGGTTTGATGAAAGATTCAAAGTCAGCATACACTGTGAACGGCACTCTCATGGACTTGTGTATGTGCCCAAACGAAATGGTCGAGCCCTCTTCTGGCATCTCTATCTTGACGGCCTCGTTTGAATAACAGTATTCCATGTGCTTATTCAACGATTCCTGTGAGTAGAAGGGGTTCAAACATCTGAGACAGTAATATTTTTTGTGTTGGTGGTTTCCGGTTTGGCTGGACAACAAACGGCTCATGTCTTTGATGACGCTGTAATGCTGCTTTTCCCCATCAGAGATCAATAAAAGGTTTATTGTTACCCTATCAACGTGTTTGCTTATTCGGAGGGGGTAAACACTAGTTTCATAGCCAAAGACATTAATAGATATGTCTGGATTTTGCTTCTCGACATGATCTATTGTCTTAAGACTAACTGGGTAATCAATACCGTCCATGTTGAGTTTTTCTGCTTGCATTCTGAGCATCTTAGTTATGCGGCAAGCATCAGGTTCTACGGGATGTAATGCTCGAGCCAGTGCCCAGAGGAAGCATCTGTTGTCATCATTTTTGACATTGATCACTCCCTTCTTAGGATGTGCAAGGGCCTCCGGAGTAGGGATGTAAGAGCTCCCCCTCAACGGTTTATAAGCAACTGTATGAATTTCAATGGCAATGATAGATTTAAATGTCCAGTTGCTGCCTCGCAACTGGAATGTCGCCATGGCCTCCATGACTCTATCTACCATTGCATCATACAGCTCATCTGCATCTGTTCCCTCGAGGTTAATCTCGACATTAGAGTGAAAGGCTGCAGGCTCTACGATTGTTTCCGAGGCACTAACAAGGTTCACTTTTTCCATGTTACATCTAAGAATTAGCTTTACCTTAGTGCCTCGGATTCCTCTCAAGAGGTTAACTACATTTTGTCGGGCTGTGTTGAGAAACGATTGAGCATCAAACCCCTCTCTGCCATCTATGGTATATTGAGTCGTAAATTTCCTCAGAGCAGATCTTGTCTCTCTGATTTCAAACATCTGCTGCTTTCTGAATAAAGCATCTACTTTTTCCTTCAAGGCTTTTAATTTCGATGGGGCCTTCTTAACAACTTCTCTGTCTGCATCATGCAGCCATTCAACCCAATCTACAGCAGCTTTGATCGATTTATTTACTTTTTGTTTAACCTTGTCCCTGGTTGTAGGGATAAGGATAGGTTGAAGAGTCGGCACATTGATGCTAGGTACATCTGCATCTAAGAAATTTTGATCTGGAGGATTCCTCTGTGGGATGAAAGCCGATGCCAGTCGTCTTGCTCCTCTAGCAATGTTTGTTGCAGCATTCATAGCCGCATTACTAATTCTTCTGAAAAGACTCATTGTTTTTATTATATATAGATTTTTTTTTCTATAAGCCATTTTCAAAAACATTTTATTTTTTCATGAATGTTGTATATGTTAACCCACATACAACATTTTTTTTGCTTACATCTTGCTAATTCCTCTGGGGTCACCCACTTTAATCTCATACTTGTTTTTCCACACCCTTCCATCCCAAAAGGTTATTATCCTCGAGGATTTGTCTATGAATTGAGATGTCTTATAAATGGATGGAAATGTAATCTCCTCTCCAGTATTAACATCCCTCAACACAACAGGTTTGGGGTTATTTCTAACTGCCATTGGATCTACCTCTTTCTTTGTCTTCACTGGTTTGGGTGGTTCCTCTGGTATTAATTCCTTTCCTTTCAACAGCTCGATCAGCCGCTTCTTGCCGCAATGAGAATAACCTTTGATTTTATTCTCACGAAGAATTTTTTCAATTCAGACAGTTTCAACATTGTTTTTTTTATTATAGATTTTAATTTTCTTAAAGTCATTTTCAAGAAATGTAGAAATCTAGCTATATACAACGTTTACCTTCTTCCAATCGGTCTTGAAGTTTATCATCTTGTCACTAATCACAACAGCAAATGCTTCGGTACCCGCTGGCACGTTGGCATTAAACTGCATTTTTATTTGGATGTCAGTGACTGCGGTCTTCAGTCGCTCACTCTGCTTGCTGACGTCGAACACAAACAGTGGGAAAAGAGTCTTGTAATCGGCGGGGGTGATGTTGGGGTTTGACACCAACTCGTCCATGTTGTAAAACTTGGACCTGAAGGCTGCTGCATCACCGTACGCCCGACTGAATTGCTGTTTGGGAAAGGAGAGGTTGTAGTCAACTGCGGGGTATCTAGCCGAGTTTAGCATGACAAATATATTCCTCACATTGACGTTGTCAAAGATGGAAGGATTCTGCTCTTGGTCACCGTCTTTGTCAGTTTGGAAACCGACAATGATATAGCGTGGTCTTTCAGGCGCTGATTTGACAAATAGTCTCCAGGTGAAGCTAGTTGACTGTGTTACGGAGATGGAATCACATTGCCTGATCCTGTACATTACGGGTAGAAGCGCATTTGAATCGAGTGTCTTGTAAAGCTGAATTTTTTCAGCATCTGCGGGTAGTACATGAGGCATAAACCACGACACCTTTTCGAGGGTAATTTTCCCATCATCAACATTTGCATTCCTGAAGATCGCATCGTTGTCCGTTTTCCGCACCAGAGTCAGTCTTCAATGCTCTCATCCTTCATGGGAGCCTCAGTAAAATTTAGAATGTTCATCATATTTTATTTTTTTATTAGCAAGAGAAAATTGTTTTATATCATTTTACAGATATAAAAAATTTTACAGAACCCACAAATGGGCGAGCGCCCTGCCAGCATTATTAACATACACGTCCGACAACACAATACTATCAAGGTGTTCTTTAGGAGTACATTTCCAATACATTGCACAAATTTTGTTTTCGTAGACAAGCTTTATCTTGCCTAAACCCGTTATAAAGATAATCATTAACCTCTCCCTCAATCTCTTCATCCTGTCTACCTTCTCTTCGGGTAGTTTCAAGACAACACCTCTATGATGCCCATTTACATCTTCAGTTTCAAGGAATTCACACCCTTCAAGGCTGATCCTTGCATTCTTGACAAAAATGCATGAATCGCGTGTTTGGTAATCATGACGCTTGAATTCGATAGCCATTTTTTTAAATTATAGATTTCATTTTTCTTTAAGTCAATTTTAGACCAGATCCTTGATTCAATCTTTTGACGAGGTCTTGAATCGCAATCGCCCTCTGTTGCTGCATTCCGCTCCCATCTATTAGTGAATGGATATTCTGATCAACTGGGAATGACTGCTTCGCCGGTGTACCAGCATGCTTTTGTAGAATTGCTCGAGATTTGGGTGTAAGAGCTTTACGTGCGAGACCTCGCACTCCTTTCTCAAGGAACTTCTTTCCAGCATCAAGAGCTGCAGTCTTTCCAGCATCCATAGCTTTCTTCCCAACTTCCTTAGCAACGCTTTTACCAGCATCTAGAGCGGTAGAGGCAATCTGTTTCGCAGCATTGCTAGTAAATAATCTAGTGAAAAAACTTGCGATGCTATCAAACATTCCAGCACCGCGATAGACATATTGTCTTCTAAATTCACGATTCTTTGCTATAAACATTATTTTTTTATAGTCTAGATATTATTTTTTTATATGCATTGACGTCCAGCACCTTTTGTCTTTTTAGTTCATCGCAAATCGATACAAGCTCGTTCCGAACGCCTGTGTTACCCGCTGCCTTGCTTGCCATCAGCAGGTCTAGTCTTTCGAGCAATGCATTAGGATCGCTAGGAATGACAACAGATGTGCAGCTCCCTTCGTAATAATCCCTATTAGTCCAAATGGTTCTAAGCACATTCTTCCATTTCAACCCCTTGCTGGCCTTTGGTCTGTTACTCTCTGGATCGTTGCCTTTTTTGAGAGCGTTCGATTCAATCATCATCTTCGCGTAATTTTCGTAGTCCTGGTCGGTGTATATTTGATCGTCTGGATTCTTGGTTACGATGAGTTCCCACAATCCCGGTGTTCCTTGGTACTCTTCACTATCCACTACTATGTTATCATCTACAAAGGCGACGGGCTTATTGCCTATATAAAAATTGCCGTTCTTATCCTATAGCTCGTACGTTCTATCAGCCTCGGATTTGGAAGCGAACTTCCTTAAATATTTGCGCGCGATTGGTCCGATAAACTTCGTATCAGTATCTTCCTTTTCTTATTGTTGAAACCCCTCTATAGATAGAAACGCTGGAAATGTGATTTTCTTCAATTCCAATATGTTTTCTTTGATGGGTCTAATATCAGACCTTATGTCTTCTGCCGTACTTTTTTGTACGTCCGTTATGGGTTTGAATATTTTACTGAGATCTGTTTGTAACTCTCGTTCACCAGTCCGTCTCTCTATCTCTCTGTTTTGGAGCCTCTTTTTCAGTTCGAGAAAATCTTTTACGATTAAATCCCTTTTCTCGGGATCTGTAATCTTTAGAAATGACATTTTTTTTGTTTCTAAAGATAATATTTTTTTTATCTCGATTTTCATCTCGATTTTCATCCCGATTTCCATCTCACTTTTCATCTCGATTTTCATCTCGATTTTCATCTCACTTTTCATCTCACTTTTCATTTCGATTTTCATCTCGATTTTCATCTCACTTTTTCTCGAACAACTTGTGGAAGTACTCGCGGGTTTCCTGCCTTCCCTGTTCGATCAGGGATTGCTGTAGGCCGTAGTCCATGTGCTTCTTGGAAACCTTTCTTATTTCTTCCTTCATCTCGCTGTACTTGTCCAACTCTGCTAGTATTCCTCATCACTTACTGCATTATCGGCTAGCACCTTCGAGATGTACGACGATATCGTGTTCAGTTTTGCTTGTGCCAAAACCTTGATCTTTTCGTGCTTTTCGGCTTTGGCCGCACACTTCCTATTCACATATTTTCCGACGATACTCCGGTTACAAGCGCAACGCCCTCCATCACGACAACAAGCGGTGCTGCTACTACCGTAGATAAAAGGCTAACACCACCGATGCCAAGCCCCATGGTGACGCCGATAAGACCAACATCGACATTATCCACTATCTTCACGGCTCTGTGGTACTTCTTGCTGAGGGTCTCACGCTTTTCTCTTTCTTCCTCGAGAATCCCCTGAATCTCGTTAATTTTCTGTAAACGATAACCTTGTCCCTCATCTTCAGGGGGAGCTGTTGGCAACTTTGGATAAGCGCCATATCATTATTCACTTTGTTGATTTCCATATTTTTATATGTGTGAAATTTTTTTTTTTTTATGTCATATAATTGAAAATTTCCCACGTTACTGGTTGCACCTTCTGTGGAGGATGTTTTACATCCATTACCGGTATCCAGTGAATCGTCTTCGGCTGTCTTGGCAAGTTATACCAATTTTTCGGTTTTACACCAAATTTGTGAACAGGCATTCTTTTTTTAATATATATATTTTTTAATATATATACACCAAATTTGTGAACAGGCATTCTTTTTTTTAATATTATTTTTTATATATATATATATGTTCATGACCACGTATGCATGAAACACTCATAATATTGCACCGAGGATCGGAATGTTGTTGAATGGGCTGTTAGGTCCCAGGATAAGACCCTTCCCATTATACCATCTCCTTTCTTTATTTATATAAAGTCCATCACCAACGGCTTCTAGACCCGAACCGGTCGCGGGTCCTAAATAAAGTCCTTTTCCGTCTGTCTCTATCTGGCAAACACAACCTCCTTTCTTGAGATACAACCCGTTCCCAACCACCTTTTGCACTCCCGAACTAGCCAAACCAGAAAGAGCGCCAATGCCTAATGCTGGAAGTACCGTCTTTGCCAAAACAGGCAATGCACGCGCTGCCAAACCAGCAAGCATCCCAAGGAAACCGCCCTCAACTTTCATATTGTGTTTGAGTTGAGCTTTACTCATTTTGATGGTTATTCCTTTACCACCTTCATAGGCTTTGGCTAATCTCTTCACTTGTCTGTCTGTCAGTGCTAAGACATCTTCACCGTTCAAATCTTCGTGACCAAAACGGACACTGACAGGACAACCGTTTTGAAGGGCCTCTCGTAATTTTTGTTTCTGCCCTTCTGAAACATTCAATTTAACATTCGTATATCGTGACATTTTATATATACGAATATTTTTTTATTACACTTGTCTGATGTGAAACCTCAATGATAAATTATCTCCTCTTAAATTTAGCAGCGTGCCATTTTGGTCGGTGAGTGAAGTCTCAAGACTGTGTATGGTGTCTAGTGTCACGGGAAGATACACCAAATTTCGTGGTGTTTCAACTATTTTATGTCCAGGGGTGACATTTGGAAAGAAGGAGTATATCGTGTGTTGTGAAGCTCCATTAACGTAGCTCCCTGAGATATTGTCAACATTAACAT